GAAAAAGTAAAGTCCAATGAGCAGAATATTTTGCTCGTGCTGTGGTTGCCAGTATCGAGCAACAGTAAATCGTACTTACCAGAACACAAATGACTATTCAAGCAGCTCTCAGTAAGGCTGGCATATATATGTTTAAAAGTCGTGTGATATCATAACATGCAGTTCATATCTGCTTCAACCATTTTATGATTTAATGGACCGAAACGTCTTATCTCGCCCAAAACTTCTTCAATCTACACTACTACTTCTTCCTACATCTTCACACTCTGTCATCTGCACTTCTAGTGTTAACCTGGAAACTGCAATCTGCTAGGGGCTTTCCAGTAAAATCGGTGATGGACTGCCCGTGGGTTGGACGTTACAGTTGACTGACTTTGGCGATTATTTGTAAATATGCAGATCAAAAAAATATGTAACTTAAGTCGGTGTCAAATTTGCACGATTCAGATATACCCATACATATTTTCAGCTGCGCCGCTGGCAAAATTTCCTGTTGTTTTGAGCAGTGCCGATTCAACTACAGCGTGTTTTGATAATTTTAATTCAGCAAATATTTACCGTTCCTCGTTCCCTGTCGTCTTCAATAGTCTGTACAGATGGTGTTGAGCGGCCGACAATCATTGCCTCCAAACGTGCATATTTGCAAAATCCACATGAATTACACAGAAATGGTTCCTGAAAGTAGATCATACGAGATGCTTGGAGGAGTGGCCGGAGAGACCTCTTTTTCGAGGTCTACTTGGTAACCTCCACATTTTACCTCTGATGACGATGGACTGTGGTTTTTTTATTTAGAGATAAAGCAGAGCAAAAACCTTTTCATCGTAATTAATCGCGCGACATTTTATGCATTGGAAAACATTTTCGCCGCAATTCGAACAAATCCCCGGATTTGGCGGCACTGCTGTGGAGCATCGTGGACAGTGGACCAATTCCGGTGCGTCCGATGTGCTCGCTGTTGCAGTTTCATGAAATTCGGCCATTTCCAGTACAACATTGCATGTAACTACTGGTAATGGCAGCTGTACATCGATTTCACCGCTTCCCTGACTAACCTAAACAAACAAAGATGAACAAAAATCACACCAACCCCTGTCCTTTGACTCTAAAAAAAACCTATCGTGGAGTGAATGCTGAAAGCGGCAGATGAATATGCTTGCTTCAAATAAATTAAGAAGAAAACCCTCATTTTTCATGATATGTGACTGGGAATGTAGCTAGGCTGAGCATGCCTTGCTAATAGTAGAATTTAGTGAAACTGCCAATAAAACCCACTTTCGCAAATTACTTAGTAGACAAACAGAAGACTATTTGATTGCTTGAACGAGTCCATCACCAAAATGAATCTTGGAGGAAGAAGGAAACTCGGTTCTCCATTGTCAAATTTGTGATAGCTATTTGGAACTAAGAAGATGTACCAATAACTAATCAGGCCGAACGAGGGAATTCAGTTCTGTAAAATTACTTTGCTACTGTGAAATTTTCGTGCTAACTTACAAGCAAAAACTACAAATTTATGTTTGGGTTTTAGTATTTATGCTGTAAATATCTAATTCAAAAATTCTTCTCAGATCTTAGCAGTTTTACCTGCACATCAGCCACTTTCTCCCAAAGCTGGGGCCGATTTTTTAGATCCACCGCCGATTCCAGCACTTTATTACAGTGATAAAATTTGAAACGCTTTATCATTTTGGATCGTTTAATTTCGTTCAGACGAATTATGATCCTGGATATCTGCAAATCATCATACGTAAAAAATTAAATAAATATGCGTGCATACATGTAAAAAAAATGCGTGCACCTGTAAAGCAGTGAATACTTTTCTGAAAAAAAAAAGACCTGAAAGTTTGTACCTCAAAATGACCCATAAGTTTAATCATTTGCGCTGAAGTGGTGAAACGAGAATCCAGTTTTATTGTAGACAATTTCAATTCCATCATTTGACGACTAGCATCCGAGCATATCAGGCACGGAGAGCAGCTCAAAACCGAAATATCCGGAGATCCTACAATGATCCATTGTCAGATAATGCGTTAATATTCAAAGCAAATGTTCCAGAAAATTTACGATCAACAAAGCAACTATGTGAAACAGACCAATATTTTCGCATAATTTCTCGAAAAGAACTGAGCTGCGACTTGCTTCCAGTACAGGCAATGCTTCATCAATGATTTTGGTTGATCGACTGTAAAGCGCCATCAGTTCGTCTCTGAAATACGCTAACAATATATCAAAATCAAAATTCAAAACCCTCTCTCTATTTCGATGTTTTTTACACACAAAGGCAAAAGGGCTGCCTAATAAAATCCATAAGCGAACAAG